CCTTTCCAGATATAAGTTCGATTAGATAATGGGTTGGTAACCTGTTTAATTCACATTAAACAAACATGAATTAAAAAATATATATGCAGATATATATATTTGATAACTGTATTACAACATAACTGTTTTTCTTTGAAATATGATATATTTTGTTTTTTGCACTTTACAAACATTATTTTGAGAAAGAGTCCAGGGCTTCCCCAGAATTTCAAAGAGGTCCATGACACAAAGAAATTTAGGAATCCCAAGATAAGATGGTTACTGAGATCTTTTCCACCTTTCAGTTTTGTGTTTCTGTAAGACTCATCATTTGAAAAACAAAAACAAAGACAACTTTTCATGATTTATTTTTGATTAATGTTGTCACTGCATTAGCATATATGAATCCCAGGGGAGACAAGCACATGTATTCTTTTGAGTTTATTTTTGTATACTGCTTAGGCAGCACCTTGTTCATTCTAACACTTAATAAGTCTTATTTGATAATTATGATGATTCATGGTATTCAGATAACTTCTGGAATACCCAGCTGTAGTAAAGCAATGAAAATATTAACCACAACTCCAAAATTGTACTTCATATTTTCTTCTTTAATAATTCACTATTCCTCAATACATGGCTTGGATAGATTTTGTAGGTATGATAAAAAGAAAACTATTAAATGACAATCTTATTGAAGTACCTAAGCAATGAAAAGAGTGTGTCAGGGTTTTTTGAACAGCCATGAACTGAAGTAATTTGTGGAGGTCTTGTGTTAGGGATCATTTAGTACTCCCTGAAACGGGGATAGGAGGAAGAAAGATTGGAAATAGTATGTACTTTTCCACTTTTGCAAATCCTCTCGATTTATAGGCCTTTTAATAGGACACATACAACTTTGTATCTCCAAAGAACTAATATTCAGTCTAACTACATTGCCAACATAAGCTCTATAAGAAGACTAATATATGCCACAGGGATAATAATAATGATAATGATGGTGGTGATGATAGCACTGAAATAATACTTTAAGGTTTAGAAAGCACTTTACAAAATTATCTCATTTGATCTTCACAACAACCCTAGAAAGTAGGTGATATTATCATCTCCATTTTACAAATAAGGAAACTGAGGCAGATAGAAGTTAAGTGACTGGCCCAGGGTCACACAGCTAGTAAGTGAGTCGGCACCTGAACTCAGGTCTTTCTGACTCCAGGTCCAGCACTTTATCCACAAAGCTACCTAACTGCCTAATATTTTAGATGTAGCTAGGAAAGACAGAAATGAGTTTCAATAGATAGCAAATAAACCAGAACAGAGTGTGTTCAGCTACTAACAGATGAGAGAGAAAAGGAAAAGAGAACTCAATGTCATATAAAGAAAAGCAATCATTTTAATGTTGATGTCTACATTACTACAGATGGTGACAGAATGATTACTATTCTGCTATTTCACCAAAGTATTTGTATCATATCGTCCAGATACAGTTGTCTCCCCTGTTTTCTCCAATGGATGAATGACTGCACAAAAATATACTGATAACACTTTCAGGTTTGCAAAAGCACTATCCTCAAAATGACTGTTTCAGACAGGCAGTACAGAAATGGCACTTTCACAAGGCCTGATTCTTAAGTATCCAGAAAAGAGAGCCCCAACTAGCATGAAGCTCACTTATTCCAACGTAGAATATAGAAATTTGGTTTTAGAACCTGAGCTTTTTTGCTAGGAGGCTGAAATGTGAGCCATGCAAAGGGTGACTTAGAGATGAGTCGGAAAGTCAGTGTAACTGGAGAACATTTTCTCATAACAGAATTTCAGAGCATTAGCTATTTCCCTTCCAACCCAGCACTGTGTCATCTGCAGACTTGCTAAATGTGCCATCATGTGTGCTGTTATCCAAATCACAGATTAAAAAGTTCCGTAGTAGAGATCCCTCGGGCCCCCACTGTAACTTTCCTCCCAAGCAGAACCATTATGACTCCTCTTTGGATCTGGCCATTTCTGAAGTCATATCATTTCACTATCATATAACCCCCATCTCCCTCTCTTTCTCATACGAGCAGCACGAGAAATTTGGCTTCGCTACAATTTGGTTTTACTCTATCTGTAGTGTTCGCCAATCTGTCAGTTTCATAACTTTGTGAAAAAGCCCATGCTAGCAAAAAGCAAATACATTTTTAATTTCAAGGGCACTGGATCTGCAGTCAGGATACTTGGGTGTGAGTTCTGATTCTGCCACGTAGGAGCTGTGTTCGGCAGGTTATTTAACTTCTCTGCACCCCTGTTTTCTTACCTGAGAAATAATGGGGAACAGTAATAAAGTGTGTGCAGCCTACATCCCAGGCTTGCAGTAAGCAAAGTGATCTGTGGATGCTGAAACTCTGCATCTCTAAGTTGTGATTGTTATTTCCTTTGCAATGGGAATGAATAGAGGATGCCCTGGAATAAGGGATTCTTTGTTCAGAATGAAACAAACCCCCAACAAACCAGGATGCCAAGAGAAGACCAGAATAAACTTAAAACCAACTTTAATGCAAACTAAGGTTCAGATTGAAACCAGAGAGTACCCAAAGGGTTTTCTCTAGAGAAAAAAGCCAGTTCGTTGTCCCGTTAGAGAAGCAGTTCCCCAAGGACAGGTTTCAGGGCAAATATGAACTCAGATGGGAAAAATTATATTTTAATTTTTTTGTAGATGTTCAATTGTCTCAGTCATGCCCAACTCTTTGTGACCCCAATATTTGGTGTTTTCTTGGCAAAAATACTGGAGTGGTTTGAAATTTCCTTCTCCAGCTCATTTTACAGATAAGGAGACTGAGGCAAACAGGTTTAAGTGACTTGCCCAGGATCACATAGTGTCTGTGGCCAGATCTGAACCTAGGAAGATGAGCCTTTCTGACCCCAGGCCCAGCACTTTATTCACTGCACCATCCAGCTGCCTTATTTAATAAACACCTGGAGAATATTCCTCTAGCCACCAGGTTCTTCTGGACCCTGCCTAGAGCCTCAGCCAGCCTAGCATAGAGGCCAAGACTTCATCCAGTTTCCTTACTTTCTCATAATCATATATCAAAATATAATCTAGCCCAAACTTTTCTGGTAGGCTTTTATACTTCTTTAACAATCTGAGTCATGAGCATGCATCTGAAGCATTCAAAACCAGGTCCCTTTTTAAAAAAATCCAATCTGTGATTTCACTGGTATAGGGAATTACTGGCAAAGAAATGCCTTCGACCTATGCAGATGGCATCTGCCTGGAATACACAGAGGTTTACTGACTTGCCCAGAGACACACAGTCAGTATGTATCAGAGGCAGGACTCAAACACAGTATTCCTGACTTCAAGGCTGACTCTTTAGCCACCATGACGTGCTGGCTCTCATGTTTTCTGCTGATATTGTTTATAACAAATAAATAGCATGGCAGGAGAAGCAGATGCAGAGAAATAGCAGATCTAAAACAATGATTATTGCTTCACTGATGTGGCTCAATTGTTAAGATGGCTGAAGTGATTGGTCTGCCTGGATACAGAATAGTTAGGAGTTATGTAGACATAACCTTTGTGACAGTAACAATGACTTTTATCACCTTTTCCAAGATGCATTGGCTCCAAGGGCCTGACACTGTCTTCTTTCACCTCTGCTTCTGGGATGAGAATAACTAACTACTAAAAATGTAGGGAGGCTGAGCAATGCAGCATGGTACAGCCTAGGGAAGGAATCCCACATCTATTACTTAAAACCTGTATCGCCTTGGGCAAGTCATATAGCCCCTGTAGGTAACCTAATCTCAAAAATGAGGGCATTGGACTAGCTGACCTTTAAGGTACCTTCCAATTAAATACATAAGCCTTCATTTTTTTGTTCAGTGTAATTTCTGCTTATGGAATTGCCTGAATCTTGAGAAAGTGCCCTGCCCCTGCTGCCTCCCCCCCTTCCAGGAACAGAACCCAACATTAACCTGACCATAAAAATCTATTATGGTGACAGGACACAATCAAGACACAGGCTCAGAAGAAGACAATGAAGTCAAATCAGCTACAAGCAAAGTCTCTAAGAAAAATGTGATTTGGACACAAACTCAACAAGAATTCTTGCAAGAGCTAAAAAGTCAAATCAAATACAAATAGTAGATGAAGAATTAGACAAAGAAATGAAGCAAAGGAAGAAAATTCTGCAAATAAAATGAGCAGTTTGGTAAAAGAAGCACACACAAAAATACTGACAAAAATAACACCTTCAAAAAGCAGAATTGGCCAAATGGAAAAAGAGGTGCAAAAAGCTTGCTGAAGAAAATAATTGCTTAAAAATTAGCATAGGGAAAAGGGAAGTTAATGACTTCATAAGACATTAAGAAACAATAATTAAACAAAGTCAAAAGTATGAAAAAGATAGAAGAAAATTTGAAATATTTTATTGGTAAAACAACTGACCTAGAAAATAGATTGAGGAGAGATAATTTAAGAATAATTGGATTACCTGAAAGCCATGATCAAAGAAAAGCCTAGACACCATATTTCAAGAAATTTTCAAGGAAAACTGCCCAGGTATCCTCAAACCAGAGGATGTAAAATAAAAATGGAAACAGAAAATAAAATAGAAATTGAAAGAATCCACCAATCACCATCTGAAAGAGATCCCAAAATGAAAACTCCCAAGAATATTGTGGCCAAATTCCAGAGTTTCCATGTCAAAGAGAAAATACTTCAAGTAGCCAGAAAGAAATCATTCAAATATCATGAATCCACAATCAGAAACATACAAGATTTAGCAGCTACCACATTAAAAGACCGGAAGGCTTAGAATATGAATTCTGGAAGGCAAAAGAGCTGGGATTGATTACAACCAAGAATAACCCACCCAACAAAACAGTAGGAATCCTTCAAGGGAAAAATAGAATAAATAGAGGACTTTCTTGATGAAAAGGCCAGAGCTGAATAGAAAATTTGATTCTGAAATATAGGAATCAAGAAGGTAAACATTAAAGAGAAATCATAAGAGATTCAATAAAGTTAAATTGCTTACCTTTTTATATGGGAATATGAGGCATGTATCTTCTAAGAACTTCACCATTATTAAGCAAGAAGGATTCTACATAGAAAGAGGGTATGGGAATGAGTCAAGTATGTTGGGATGATGTTAAAAAAAAAAAGAATAGGTGAGAGAGATACCCTCAGAGAAGGGGGAAAAGAGAGAAAGAATGAGGAAAATTATCTCATGTAAAAGAGGCACAGATGGAAGTGATTTTACAGTGTGTGGTAGAGGGCGAAGTGGAGGGATGGGCAATGCTTCTACCTCACCCACATCTAAATTGATTCAAAGTGGGAAAATATATATACATACTCAAATGGTAACAGAAATCTATGTTACCCAACAGGGAAATGGGAGGGAAAGGTGATATGATGGTATATTTAGAGAGCTCTAGAGAATCAACCAAAAAATTAGTTGAAACAATGAATAACTTGAGCAAAGTTGCAGGATTAATATAAACCCATCAAATAATCAGCCTTTCTACATACAATTAACAAAACCCAGAAGGGTGAGATAAAAAGAGAAATTGAACTTAAAATAATGACAGACAATATAAAATACTTGGGAGTCTACCTGCCAAGACAAATCTAGGGATTATGTGATTACAAAACACTTTTCACACAAATAAAGACATCTAAACAATTGGAGAAATATTGTTTGTGGGGAGGCTGATCTAATAAAAAAAAATGACAATTCTGCCCAAGTTAATTTACTTATTCAGTGCCATGCCACTCAAACTACCAAAGAATTATTTTATAGAGCTAGAAAAAATAATAAAATTCATCTGGAAGAACAAAAGTCAAGAACATCAAGGGAATCAATGAAAAAAAATGTGAAGGAAGGTGGCCTAGCGGTTCCAGTTTTCAAACTATATTTCAAGGTAGTAATTATCAAAACATCTGGTACTGCCTAAGAAATAAAGTGGTAGATCAGTGGAATTGATTAGGTACACAATACACAGTAGTAAATGACCATAGTAATCTAGTGTTTGTTAAACCCAAAGATCCAACCTGTTGGGATATGAACCCACCATTTGACAAAAATTGCTAGAAAAACTGGAAAACAGTTTGGCAGAAACTAGGCATACACCAAACATTTCATACTGTGTATCACAATAATGTCAAAATGGATAAATGATTTAGATCAACTATGAAAGACTTAGCTACTCTAATCAAGACAATGACCCAAGACAATTCCAAAGGACCCATAATGAAAAATGCTATCTGCCTCCAGAGAGAGAATTGATGGACCTTTTTTTCCTTTTATTATTTTATTTTGTGTTTTCTTTTGCAACATGGCTAATATGGAAATATGTTTTGCATGACTTCCTATGTGTAGATATCAAATTGTTTGCATTCTCAAGAAGGGGGGAGGGATGGGCAGGAGGAAGAGAACTTGGAACTCAAAATTTAAATAAAATTATTGTTACAATATTTTTACATGTAATTTGGAAAGATTTTTAAAATAAATAAAAATAATTTAAAAATAATCCACTTCAAAGTGGAGATAATAATATTTATCTATTTCACAGGGTGGTTATGAAAATCAGCTCTGACTCTATATCAATTAACAAGCTTTTTATTTCATTTCTACTATATGCCATGCGCTAGTCATAGAAAGACAAAAGTCCTTGGGGAGCTTATGATAGAGTCCAGGGGAGACAACATGTCCTTAAACAGGTATACACAAAATAAATACAAGACCATTTTGGGAGGAAGGCACTTACAGTGGAGGGATCAGGAAAGGCTTCAGGCAGAAGGTAGGGCTTGAGCTGAACCTTGAAGGAAACTTCGAGGGATTCTGAGGCACAGGTGAGGAGGAAGCACAGTCCAGGGTTGGCAGACAGCCAATGTAAAGGCATAAAGACAGGACAGCGAGTACTGCTCATGAGGAAAATGAAGAAGGCAAGTTTGCTTGGCATGTAGTGTATGGGAATGTGTAGGGAAGTTGGAAAGGTAGGATGGAGTCAGGTTGTGAGGAGCTTTAAATGCCAAACAGGGGAGTTTACATTGGATCCCAGCAAGCAGGGAATCACTGGAGATTATTTAGCAGGGGAGTGAAATGTTCAGTCTTGAGCTTCCCATATGTGAAATCAACACTTCTATTACTACCACTAAAATAATAATTACATTTATGTAGCTAGGTGGCGCAGTGGATAGCGCTGGGCCTAGAGTCAGGAAGATTCATCTTCGTGAGTTCAAATCTGGCCTCAGATACTTACTAGCTATGTGACCCCAGGCAAGTCACTTAACCCTGTTTGCCTCCATTTCCTTATCTGTAAAATGATCTGGAGAAGAAAATGGCAAACCACTCTAAGATCATTGCCAAGAAAACCCCAAATGAGGTAAAAAAGACTTGGGCATGACTGAAATGACTGAATAATAACAAAAATATACCTTAGGCAAATTGTTTAACTGCTCTAATTGGTTTCTTTATCAGTAAAATGGGTATAATAATATAATATACTATTATAATATGACATATAATATCATAATATATAATATAATAATAATAACTATACGATTTCAAATCATTCTAGTGAGGGGCAAATATACAGGTAGAAAGACAGAATGATACAGAGGCAGGTAGACAGACAGGTAGTAGATAGACAGGCAGACAGAGAGAGAGCAGTGACCTGTCTGGTGCATGTCACCTACTATGTCCTCCATGAATCTGTTCTTGACTCCCTGACCAATATTTCTCTTCAATGGGCCAAAGCACCACCACCACCTCCCCTTAGATTCCAATGGAGACAGTTCTGGACCCTGAGTCTAAGATCCCTAAGAACAGAAGTTACAATCACACAATCTGTCCAAGCGCTTTTCCTAAAGCGCACGTCTGATGATGTCATTCCCCTACTCAACAAATTCTAGTGAATCCCTGCCGATTCTACGATCAAATATTATTTCATCTTAACTCAACCTTTTAAAATGTCTATTCTTTTTATACATTTTATAAAGTACACAACCATTAGTACAGTAGCCCATTACAAAAATTTACAAATGACATATTCATATTGAAGGGCCTGTAGAGGAACTTTTTACTGAAAGAAATATATGGTAACAAAAAGAAAAAGTTCAGTGACCACTGCTCTAAAGCATGGAAAAAAGACTTTGGCTACACTGAATAAACATTGGATTTACAGTCAAAGGATTCCTAGAGGATTCCAACTTGGGTATTGCTGCCTATCAACCCTAAAGCAAGTCACTTCACTTCTCTGGCCTTCGGTTTCCTCTCTGAAAAAGGAGAAGGATGAAGTAGATAACCTCTGAGCTCCCTTCCAGCCTCTCAATTTATGATCCAATGAATGATCAAATGAACTGGTGTAAACAGCAGTTATATTCCTTCATAGTAATAACTCCACGGTATACTGGGGTCTTACTCCATGGGGGCCAGTATCAAGGGGTCTCTGGTTCATTCCTCTGCAGTAATGGTCTGTCTCCCACCCCTCAACCTACTCCCTACCCTTGAATAATCTGAGGAAACATTTGGTACTGTTCTACTGGGGCACCAAAATTGATAGTTACGGTGTACAGCAGAAAAACGTGAAACAAAACTGGAATGGAAGGCCTTTAAATGCCAGGCAGAGAGTAGACTTTTTGTATAGACAATGGGAGAGAGAACAGAGAGTGATGTTGAAGACATATGGGCAGGGGAATGACATTAATTCATTTATTTAATTTACTGAGAAGTTTGCAATATTTATTAGGCAAGGCATTGTTTGGGATGTTCATGGATACGAGGTTCAAAGGTGTACTGTGAAGATTACTCTTTTGACGTGTGTAAAATTCATTGGAAAAGGTTGGAGTAGGTTGAGGAGGCAGAATAATTTGAGGCAGAAGGACTAATTAAGAGATTCTGGTTCAACAGAGAGGTAATGAGAGCCTAACTCTAATTCACAGATGGAGGAGCTGAGGCCCAGTGTGAATAAGTGATTTCCCCAGAGTCACATAAGCAGTGAAAAGCCAGAGTCACAATTCATGCCTCCTGAGCTTGTGTCTGGGCTACTACTATTTGCTATAGCTTTCTCACAGCCTTAATGTTTTGTTTTAAATTGATTACTTGAGATATTTTATACTTTATGTATACGTTTATCTCATCTTATTCTATAAGAATGATAATGTTTCATGGAATGAGACCTGGAAAGGGCCTTAAGAAATATTCAGTCCAAGCCTTTGCCTCTGAATACACATTTTATTTTCAAGAAATAAAAAATACTTTTGTATAAAAAACCCAACAAAAATAACTTCTCAAATAAAAGAGACTTACCTCATCATGGAAAGTATTTTAGACTTCTCCCTCCTGTCTTCTACAATGGAGAGTAATAGCTTGTCCTGGCACTCATAAGGGAATGAAAATATTTTGTTGATCTTTAGTTCAGTCAGCAAGAAAAATGAAAAAACAAAAACAAACAAAAAGACAATGTTGCTTAGACCTTTCCCCATAGGCTAAGTATTTATTTTTAGGAATTGGTTATGCATTAGAATTTTCTGTTTCAGTTCCAAGGCTTAAATTTACAAGGTGATGAAGTGAACTCATAATGATGCAAGTAATAACTCACATTTATAGTGGAGCTTAACCCTACAAGATAGGCAGTGCCAATATTATGATCCCCAGTTTTCAGATGTAGAAGTACTTAGAGCCTCAGAGGTAATAACTTTTCCAGAGTCAAATAATTAGTAACAAACTGATAGGAAGTTTTTCATATGAAACCTCAGCCCTAGGTGGCCAAGTACAAAACAAAAGACTTGAAGTCACGAAGACCTGAATTCAAAGTCTGTTTCTGACATATGCAGGCTGTCATCTTGGGCAAGTCACTTCACCTCTCTCAGTCTGTTTCCTCAATTGTAAAGTGGGAATAATACTAGCATCTACATCCCAAGAGGATCAAAGGAGATCACATACATAAAATGCTTTTCACGCTATAGTTCTATATAAATGTTGGCTATTTTTATTATTACTACTCTTCCTGAAAAGATTAAAAAAACTTTTGTGAAATGTAGAAGAAGAAAGAATTCATTTCATGAGTATAACCCTTTGAAATATTGACATATGGAAATAGATTTGGAGTCAGAAGAACTGGGTTTAAATCTTAGCTCTTTCGCTTATTAGATGTGTGACTTTGGGCAAGCCAATTAACCTCTTTAGGCCTCAGTTTTCTCATGGATTAAATGAGGGGACTGAACTAGATTACCTCTAATTATCAAAGATCTATTACCTGTGTGACGTGAAACCAAATCATGTCAGCCATTCAGAAAACTCTTTGGAATTTACCATTCTGTTATCTACATATGCATAGATGTTTAAATCTGCAGTCCACTGACCCTTCTAGGGGGAACTTGTCTAATTTGTTTATCTCCCTTATCCCGAAAGAAATCAGGGCTCTAGATGAAAGGATCCCACCCTTACTGTTTTGTTGTTGTTTCTTGAGAGCTTAACATTCTTGAAAAGGACTGTGGGTAGACCAGATATTGTTAACCTGAACAAAGTAATGTATAGGAGAAATTTCTTCACCATGGGAAACCATGTTTTACTCAGAATAATAGAAATGTTTATACTACTTGCCATTATTATTCATCTGTTAACATTGTATCTCTTTCTCAAAACAGCCCAACAATCTGTTCCCCACCCTTCTCTCAGCAGAAGTTAAGATTTGGTGATTCCACTTTGTATAGCTATGCTATCTTATCTACTTTGCATACCTCCATTAATCTCCCAATTTTATATACTTCCACTAAGACCTTCGATTTTTTTTTCTTTCAAAGCTTATAAAATTGTTAAGGCCACACAGTTGGATGAGAAGCTGCTCCACAGTATTCCTTTCTGTACTGAAAAGTTCTCTCCCTTATAGCCATAAGTAATAAAGCTATGCCTTAATTAAGCTGGAAGTTATTGTGCTTTGGGTTAATTCTTCAACGAAGCCTAGCACAGCACACATAACACACAGTAAGCATTCAATAAATGTTGGCTTAATGAATGCTGTGTGCATATAGACTGTTTTACCTAACAGCTATGTAGTAGCTTAATCTGCATCTTGTTATCCATCAAAGGATTATTAGTCTACCAAAATGAAACAGACATAAAAACAGCAGGATTTTAAAACAGCCACATCTAAAGCATGCTTGCAGACAAATGTTAATGCTGAGTAGCATCTGATGGTAGGCAACAATATTCGTGTTTCCTGCTGGCAAACATCTTTTTATTTTCAAGGAGATGACACTGTGGCTGCTTCTGCTGATGTCCCTCTGCTAGAAGGTTCTTGGTCTTGCCCAGGTGGGTCTGTGAAGCCATTCTCTCCCCATTCCCCTCTCCCTCCCCCACCATGGTCCCACTCTGCATGCTTATAGTCTAGTGCAGTTAATCTAAAGGAGTTCGGCCAATCTATGCCTTAAAATTTCCTGACACAAATCTATATGTAGAAATCTAGCTCTTAATACAATGAATGTCATATAGTGGGTGCTAAATAAATGCTTGTTGATCTGAATATCAATAGTTTAAATGCTTGTTAACCTGGATGTTACTTGTTAAAATAAAGAAATCAATATTGTTTCTGTAATTTATTAGACACATTTCCTAAGAAGTTGAGAGTATAAAAGCAGTTAAGTATTCTGACCTACATAAGCAGTTAAGAATTCAAACCCCTATGCTTGAAGACTGAGGTTCTAGATCTGTGATGGCAACAGCAATAAAACTAAAAAGTCTTTTTGATTGTAAAATATACACACACAAAATATCGTTCAAGAAAAGGATCACTGAAGGGGAAACAAGGAAGGCCCACGGGATGCCAAGAAAAATTTGATGGGTACTTCTTTTGGTAGCCAGGCTGAAAATATGACTTGTAAACAAAATGTCATTTTGACTAGAGACCGCTTTTGTTTCCTTTAAATAAATATGCATGCATGTATATAATAGCTGTCACTTAAATTAAAAAGTAATGATGGAAAAAGAAGCATTTTCCCATCACATAAGTCTTTCTCTGCTTACGATCCAAGACAGAAAAGATGCAAACTTAGCATTGCTTTGGGATTCAGGAAAACTCATGAAAGTGATATGGCAGAAATTAAGTTTTAACTCCTTTAGCTTGTTTCAGATCTGGAATGCAGGTTTCTCCTTGAGCCTACTCTTAGTTAGGGCTAGTATGTTCTGGGCAATATAGCTAAAATTGGGAGAATTTTATACTCAAAGTCTGATTGGACAAACAGGGAAATGAAATGCACCTGACCTTGGTAAGATCATGAAAAAAAGAAAAATTAGTTGTTTGAATTTTTTAATTTCTACACATTTTGTAACATGAGCTCACAACATATTGCCATGAAACAGGTTCAGAGAAGACCAGCTTATTTAAAATATTTGTCTATCACTTGTACAATATAGTTTCCACCTAGGACTATTTTTCTTGAGCACTGCAGCAGAATAGAATATAGTCTTCTGTCATTTTACCAGGCTTCCTCAACAATCTAAATTCTGATATTTAAAACATTTTTACTCTTTCAAATAAAAAATGATTAAAGTAAAAGAAGGTGAAGGAAAGTACTATTTTTCAGTACTTCGTTCCGGGAACCTCATTTTCTCTTCAATGCAGTTACCTTTAATAGAAGTATTTGAATTCCTTAACACCAATCACGAGCATTTTTTCCCAATTAAATCAAGAACGTGCTAGTCTTCTTCACCGCCCCCATGAATTCCATAAACAAGAAAGAAATATACATGCTTATTATAGAATATTTCGACAGGAAGGTATTGCGTTGCCTTCTTACCTACACAGAGTGCAGAGGATTGCAGCGCGGGCTAGCTGCTTTACTTTCCCGATGAAACGCGGGTATCAGAAAAGGAAATGACGCTCCCGCTTGTGCCTTGATCGAATTTGCTCATTTTGGAAAGATTAAACAGCTCGCAGAAATGATGTCTTCTAGCATGGATTGGTATGGTGAGGGGGTAGCTGGAGGGAAGCACCGCCCCCAACGTGAGATATTCCTAAAGGAAACAGTGGCAATCTCTTCCCTTTCCTCGTAGTACCACTTCCTGTTAGGGGATCCAGAAGTACCCAAGAAGCTCTGTTTTGTAGTTTTCAGCTCACCCCAAAAGCTTATCCTTCCATTACGCCTCTGTCAAGTTGATTCTTATCCAAGGAAACAACTTTTAAGCATTCACAGCATTTGCTTTATGTCCTAGCTATGCATTCCCCCCCCCCACCCCGTGATGAAGTAACAATGATTGTTTCTAACCAGTCAGTATTAAATAATCTCTGGAATGTTTCAATTAACTGAAGGCGACAACGGTACTCAGATTTGGGCTACTGTAAAGATCTCCAGGCGATTTACTTTGCTTTTGCAATCCACATTCCCATCTGATTTTACAGACAGATTATGCAAGATACTTCCCCCAAACAAAAAAAAATTCCTTAATTCTTCTTAATACAGCGCTGAAGGCAGAATTGTGCAGATGGTGATTGTTATCTATCAATGTTGCCATTGTCTTTAAGCTTCATTCAACAAAAACAAAAGGATGACCTGGAAGCATGCATGTATGCATATATGCATATGCATTTGATTCATTCATTCAACATGCGTTTATTAAATGTCCACTGCTTACAAGGCACCCTAGTAGGTGTAGAGGAGATACAAAGACAAAAATGGAAAACAATCCTCCTCCCTCCCCTCCACCCCCATCCTAAGTTCTCCTGCCCTAAAGGACCATACAACGACTTCATGGATCAGGAAAGCTTTCCCTTTGGAGACAGCGACTTAGCTTAGCCTTGAAAGGATGCATTCCAGGAAAGAGGGACTGCCTGGGTAAAGAAAGGTATGGCTGGGGAGCAAGTAGGTGAGTTTTGATGCAACAGAGATTACACAGAATGCGTGAAGATGAAGAAACGCGGAAGTCTTTCTCTTCTCAGAGTAGACATTGGCCCCTAATTTCTACTGGGGTGAGAGTTGGGGGGGGGAGGCGAGGCTGCGGTGGGGGGAAAGGAAGGGCGATTTGCTATTCACCAAATTCTAAACGTTAAAACAATCCATTCAGTGAACTGAACCAAAAGCATTAAGTCACCTCAGTGCAGTTACCTGGTGGGGGTGCGGTACACATTGAGAGAGGGATTTTTAAAAAAAAATACGTGCCCCCCAATAAAACTATGATTCGCATAATATCGTGGTTATTTTTGCTACGTTAGAGAGCCTGTGCAAGACTGTATGGATGCCTAGAATATTTAAATAGATAAAGGAGAAAGGGGAGGAGAATGGAGCAAGGAAATAAGAGGCAGAAAAAGTATCCAGAAATTCATCAGTCTAATGATGAAGGTCATCCAGCTATTGTAAGAGAGCTCGTCTTCCTATGGTCGTTATTATCTCAGAGGAGCAAATCTCAGGCTGGCAAAAGGGCAAAGATGGACAATTGGGTGAAGGGCAAGTCATTTGTCGAGGATGCATGGGATATCATCCGAGGAAGATGACTTGAAAGGGACCAGGGATAAGGACTTTTAATAAATATTCCTAGGAGGAAGACAGGAGGGTAAGCGTGGTCTAGTGGAGTTAAAAAAGAGTTCTGCATTTGAATACAGAGGACCTGAGTGCAAGACACATACCTGACCCTTTGTAAACCTTTGTAAGCGCTATGAAAATGCAATTACAGTTGTTACCTGTGGAATCACTGGACATGACACTTAACCTCTCTTGGGCTCAGTTTCTTCATTGTAAAATGTATGTGCAAACTGTTTCCTCCTTTAGAATGTAAGCACCTAGAGGGTAGGGATTATTTCCCTTTTTCTTGTTAATTAATGAAAGTTTGGAGCTGATTGCCTCTAAGATTACCTTCCAGTTCCAAATCTATGATCTTGTGGGTGATGCACTCTGGACGTCCATTTCAAATAAGATAAAGCGTAAAGTGCTTTAAAAGGGACTAGATAAATATTAGTTATTACTATTTTCTCGTCTGTAAAACGCAAGAGTTACCAGATGATCTTCTAGAAGGTAAAATGAAACTATATATGAAAAGACACCTTAAAGTCCTATCTAAATGCTAGCTATCATCATCTCCAATTCTATTCAGCGTTTGTGTGCGTTTCAGGAAGCCAACCATAACCAGCTAGTAACGCACCCTTCACCACCTTACCCCAAGGCAGTTTGCAACAGCATTACCTACGTTGGGACTCTAGATGACAGTGGATAGAGAGCTGGGCATAGAGTGAGGAAATCCTGAGTTCCAATACAGCCTCCGACACTAGCTGTGTAGCCCTAGGCAAATCATTTAGCTTTGGCCAGCCTCTGTTTCCTCGTCTGAAAAATGGAAAAATGATAGTATATATCTCCCAAGGACTTGGGGAGGATAAAATGATATAACAATATTTGTAAAGCGCTTTGTAACACCTTAAAGGCTACATGAATGTTAGCTATCATCGTCACTATTATTTAGTCTTCTTCCCAGGTGCGGTTAGCATTAGTGCATCAGACCTGGGTGAAGAGTTGACAGAGCGTCCCTTCCCTTTACACATCCCCCTGCTCTAATCTCCCTGATGGAGCTGAGTGGGACCTTCACCCCTCCCAGATTCAGAGGTAGCCCTGCTCTAGCTCGGCCCCAGCCAGGCCCCGCCCCAAGCCAGCCGAAAGCCCCGCCCCTCCTCCCCGCGCAGGCCCCGCCCCCCTACGAAGCAGGGCCCTACGAAGCAGGGCCCGGGCAGCGCCGGCTCCCCCCTCCCTTCCCTCTCCTCCCCTTTCCGTCCCAGGGCGCAGACGCGCTACGGGCCGGGCCGGAAGTCGCCGTGTCCCGGTGTGTGCCAGTGTGAGAGGGATCGCAGAGGGGTCCCGGCTGGCCTGGGCTGAGTGGCCGCCGCAGCTTCCGCCGGTGCCTCAGCAGGGGAGGAAGGGAGCGGGAAGCGGGCCCGCCGCCCGGGACGAAGATGCTGCCCCTCTCTATCAAGGATGATGAATACAAACCCCCCAAGTTCAACCTGGTCCGCAAGATCTCGGGCTGGTTCAGGTGAGGGAGGGAGCGGGGGCCGCCGCGGAAGGAGGGAGGGGGCCCGCTCCTCCTTCGTCTCCCTGGGCTGCACGGGGGCCCTCCTCCAGCTCCCGCCTCCAGCGCCAGCCCCCCTGAGCCGGGCTCTGCTCTGTGTCTGTGCCTCCTCCAGGTCCATCCTCTCAGACAAGACCTCCCGGAACCTGTTCCTGTTCCTGTGCCTGAACCTCTCCTTCGCCTTCGTGGAGCTGCTCTACGGCATCTGGAGCAACTGGTAACCGGCCTCGGCGGGGCTGGGCTGGGCTGGGCGGGAGGGGCGGGGCGGGGCGAGCGCCCACGGTGCCACGTCGCTGCTCATCCCCGGCCGCCGCCGCCGCTCCTACCCCTGCCTGCCTCCCCATCCCCGCGCCAGTCTCCCCAGAATAAGGCCGCTGCGAGTGGGGAGAGGGTCCCTGTCACTCAGCAGCGGCGGCCCCCTCCTCTCCCAGACGGGGGGAGAGTGTCGTCCCTTCCGCCCATAGCTCTGCCCACTCTCCTTCCTGGGATTGGAAGGGGCATTTCTTTCCCACCCACACTGGCCGGTTTTCTTAGGATGGCAGCGGCAATGTGTGGGTGGGTGGGAAGGAAGAGGAATGACTCGTCCTTAGACTTGACCCCACGGGTTTAGAGCTCAGTGAGGGATACTGTTGAAGTTACCTCCCCTGGCTACTTTTAGGAATGGAAATGGGTTAGGGAGCTTAAAAACGATACGTCTGAGAAGTATGCATCTGGGTCTTTTTCTTTTCCTCTTTGCGTATGTTTTGTTTAGCCTAGCCGGGAGGGGTTTATTGTGACATGATTTCTCTCCCTGGTGATGAGAGATTAGTTGTGATTTTTTTTTCTTTAAAGTCTTCAGGATCTAGCTTGCATTTTTAGCTAACTCAGCTGAGGTTGTGCTTCTGTGGGGGAAGTTTTTCTCCTTTATAAGAAGTTGCGTCTTCAGTGGAGGAGGAGGATGCCAATACACAGGGTCTTTCTCCTTCAGGACAGAGGGGTTGAATGACTTCAGGTCTTATTGGGTTGTCAAGAGCTAAAAGCAGGCTAGGTGTCCTTTTGGCAACTGATCTTTATGCTTCATTTCCCCTTTATTAAAATACATCTTGGCTGCTTTTATTGAAGCTGTCATTGGTCTCTTGAGATTGGTGCCAGCTTTTATGAAATGCACAGGTCTTCAGAAAAAAATTAGACAGGGACATGGACCTTTTTCAGTAATTGAAATTGTTTAACTTTTTTTTAAATCTTGAAAGGTCAAAATTAACATACTGTATTTTCTAAAAGCACCTTTCTGCTTATACTTGACATTTGTCATGACTTGTATTAAAAATCATCATGCTGTAGTAATCATTCATTACAAATACGTTAAGTTTTTTTCTTTTTAATATGTCGTGCCAACATATGCTGTGTCAGACAACTTTCACAATCTTGTATATACTTGTTGGCTGTATTGCAAAAGCTTTTCCATATAGCTTTCATGATTACATTTGTGCATAAATCTGAATTGAAATGACTTCCTCAAGGGAATGCCTGATTTGAGCTTGTTGTTAAGTTGTGTCCTACTCTTCATGACCCCATTTAGGGTTTTCTTAGCAAAGGTACTGGAATGGTTTGCCATTTCCTTCTCTAGTTCATTTTACAGATGAGGTACTGAGGCAAACAGGGTGAAGTGACTTGCCCAGGGTCTCATAGCTAGTAAGATAATTCTTTCTGACTCCAGGCCCAGCACTCTATCCACTGTGCCATTTAGCTGCTTAGAATTTCTCTGTTTCTGCTGATGGCCTCACTGCTGTGTTTTTCTAGTCACCCAGGTTCAAAAGCTTAGAGTCATCCTTGACTTTTCTTTCTTTCTCAACATCTATATCCAGTCAGTTGCAAGTCTTGTTGATCCTGCTTCCTCACTTCTCACATCCGTTCACTTCTCCCCTACAATCTCTATCCTAAATTATGTCCCTCATCACCCTTCACATGGACTATTGCAATACTCCCCTGATTGGGCTCCCTGCTTCTAGTCTCTCTCTTCTCTAATCCAGCCCCCATTTAATTTTCAAATCAGTATCACTAAAACAGGCTTAGACATTTGCAATAGCTCCACATTGTCTTTACGATAAAATGCAGAATCCTCATCTTGACATTTAAAGTCCTCCACAATCTGGCCCTCACCCGTCTTTCCACTCTGGGTTCATATCGTTTCCCTTCCAACACTCCATTCCAGTCAGACTGGTCTGCTCAGTGTTCCTGGACTGACTGGTCCTCTTCCATACCAGCACCTTTCCTTGGTTCTTCATGGCTGGAATGCACTCTGTCTACATCTTTAGTTTCTTTCAAAGCACAGCTCAAGTGCCACTTGCTACTAAAGGCTTTTCTGATTTCCTCAGTTTCTAGCACTCTGTTGAAATTACTTTGTATTATTTTGCATAGACTTTATTCTTACTTCCTATACATGTTTGCATCCCCTTTGCTTTCTCCCTTCTGCCCCCTCTTCTCCCCTCCTCCCCACAAACTCTTTGAGGGCAAGATTATTTTGTTGTCTTTGTATCTCTTGTGCATTGTAGGCTTATAACATAGGCTTATTGAATTGCAAGAAATCCTTATGGTACCTAGGATGCTTTTCTTGGTTGCACTGTTTTGCTTAATGATTTGATGCTGCAGCGTGATATAGTGGAAAGAGCACTGGATTTGCAAAGGACTTGAGTTTGAATCCTGCCTTCACTACTATTACCTGTGTGATGCTAGGTAAGGCACTTGGCCTCTCTGGGCCTCAGTTCCTTCATCTGTAAATGGGATTGGACTAGATCTCTAAGGGCCTTTCCACTTTTAAATTCTATTACAAATAATTAGGGTTTCCCAGGTAGTCTGATAAGCTATGGTGATGCAATATAAAGTCCTTATTGTTATGGCATGGTTTTCTTATAGCATGCATTCTGGCTTTGTACTCCTGCTTTTATAAAATTCTAGAGTATAGTGGATAGAATGGAATTGGAATCTGGAGACCTGGGTTTGAATCCCTGCCACTAATACTTATTAATTGTGTGAGTCCAAGCAAGTCACTTACCCTCTCTGATCCTCAGTTTCCTAATCTGAAAATTAGTGATAATAATACTTGTACTGTAGCAGTTGTAGTATGGATAAGAGCTGATTTCAGAGGCTGGGAGGCTTTTAAGTCTCACCTGTGATGCTTGCTTGGCTGTGTGAAGCTGGGATAAGTCTTTTAAAGGCTCCTTGTCCCCAGGCAGTTCTCCGAGTCCAGTTGCTGAGCATCTGCCAGTCTGCTTCAGGGTAGAACAAAGCCATTTTCCTTACTGGTCGCTACTTAGGCCAATAAAATTACAGTGCTGTAGAGCAAACAAATCCGGAAACAGTGCTTGGACTCGCTACTTCACTGAGGTGTAGTGGGGAAAGAATCGTCAAACTTTAAATTACTGTACAGATGTGAACTGTTGCTACTGTTACAGAGACATGCAACTCAACATAGCAACAGCTTTGTGTAATGGAAAGAGTATTGAATTTTGAGCAAAAACATGGCGTGGCTGTTGAAGGAACGGAAGTTCATGCTGTAGGAGGATTGGTTGAAGAAACTGGGAATGTTGAACCTAGGCAGTAGAATGGTCAAGGGGAAATGAGAGCTGTCGTAGAGGTTTTGAGGAGTTGTCACATAGTAGAGGGATTAAATTTTGTTCAGTTTTACTTCAGAGAACAGAATTAAGAGCATCGGGTAGAAGGTTTAAAAAGGCCAATTTAGGCTTGATGTAAGTAACAGCTGTGTAGTGAGATGCCTCGGGAAGTGATGTGTCCCCCTGCTTCCCTCTCTCACCTGCGTTGGAAGTCTTCCAGCAAAGGCAGGATGATAACTTATTGGAAGTATTGTTGGGGGAATGTGTTTTTAAGAGATGAGTTAAAGGTATGAGTTAAACAAGCAACGAGCCAATCAAACATTGATTAAGCTTCTGTTATTGCTAGGCGCTGTGCTAAGCACTGGGGATGTAAAATTGGGCAAATGATAGACCCTGCCGTTAAGGAGCTCACAATCTAATGAGGGAGCCAACCAACAAATAAATAAACACAAATTAGCTCTATACAGGGTAAATAGGAAAAGATTGAGAGAGGGAAGACACTAGAATTAAGAGGGGTTGGGAAAGGCTTCCTTTAGAAGATGGGATTTTAGTTGGGACTTAAAGGATGCCAGTAAGGTCAGTAGGCAAGATGAGAGCATTCTGGTCATGGGGGATACCCAGAGACAATGTCAGGAGCCCAGAGAGGAATGTCTTGTTTGGGGAGGAGCCAGGAGGCCAGTGTTACTGTAGTCAACTCTGAAATTCAGTGATTTTAATTTCAGTTCTGACACTGACTACATTACTTTGGACAAGTCATTTAACCTGAGCCTTACTTTCCTTGTCTATAAAATGGGATTTTTTAATCCTTGCCCCATACACTTTATAGGGATGTTCTGAGTATGTCATTGAAATAACGAATGAAGCAAACAAACAGAAAAAAGCATTTATTAAGTCCTTGCCGTGTACCAGACACTGTGATAAGCACGGGATGAAAACAGAAAAAAGAAAGCCTCTGCCCTTGAGGAGCTCATATTCTAATGGGGAAGACAGCACATGTGAGACAGGCATGACCAGGGAGGGATGTTTTAACCTTGGAAGTCACATGGTTATAGAGAAGCCACAGAATATTTGAATGACATGTTCTTTTCTGGAATTACAGTGTTGATTTGATTTCTGTTGCCAGGGCTAGTGGGAAAATGGGGAGGTGATTGGGAATGGCATGGCATGAAGATGTCCATAGAGCAGCAGCATGGTAGCTCCAGACTGATTCGTTCTAGAAAGCCCTCACCCCAAACAGGAGAGGAGCTCCAGAGTCTGGTCAGAGGAGAGAAGGCATGGCATAAAAATGGATACGAAGTTGTGTAACCACATAAACTTAGTATTTTGTTCTCATAATGAAGGGCCCATAGAAATAGTGCTAGTTGCTCTGATGGCAATACATATCAACATTTTCCTCTGATTTCTGTCCATAGCCAGACTGTAAGAGGGGGGAAAAAACAATAACTTAATTGTGAGATATTTTGGAGTAGATAAGGAGAAAGGCTGAACTTTTTTTTTGTTTTTTTTTTTTAGGCAGTTGGGGTTAAGTGACTTGCCTAGGGTCACAGCTAGAAGGCTGAACTTTTTACAGTGTTTTTTGTAATATGATAAAACAGTGATAACTCTTTATCTTCTTTTGCCTCAAACA